TTTATAATATACTACATTTATTACATATTACACATTTTTACATGTACAGCTCTGGATAAAAAAAAAAAAATTGAGACCACTGCAAAATGATCAGTTTTTCTGGTTTTACTATTTATAGGTATGTGTTTGAGTAAAATGAGCATTTTTGTTTTATTATAAACTAGTAGTTTTAAAACTACTGACAACATTTCTCCCAAATTCCAAATAAACGTACTGTCATTTAGAGAATTTATTTGCAGAAATTGACAACTGGTCAAAATAACAAAAAAATGCTGTGTTTTCATACCTCAAATAATGCAAAGAAAACAAGTTCATATTCTTTTTTTAAACAACAATACTAATGGTTTTAACGTAGGAAGAAATCAATATTTCCAATCACAGCTTTCATGCGCCTTGGCATGCTCTCCACCAGCCTTTCACATTGATTTTGGGAGACTTTATGCCACTCCTGATGCAAAAATTCAAGCAGATCGGCTTTGTTTGAAGGAAGCAAGTTTTCTTCCAGGACAACCTTGTGCGTGGCTTGATTCATGCGCCCTTCACAAAGACGTATGTGCCAGATTCCAGCCTGCTGAAGCACCCCCAGATCATCACCGATCCTCCACCAGATTTCACAGTGGGTGGCTTGTAGGCCTCTTTAGGTCTCCATCTAACCATTAGATGACCAGGTGAAAGCTGAAAACTGGACTCATCAGAGACGGTCCAATCCGTATGGTCTTTTGCAAAACTCAGGCTGGCACTTCTTTGCTTCTCATTGATGAAGGGCTTTTTTCTAGCTTTGCACGACTTCAGCCCTGTTTCGAACCGTCCTCACCATGCAATTCACCCCAGCTGCTGCTTGCCATTCTTTTTGTAGGTCATCCTACAATTGTTGAGTGACATTGGAATGAGTTGGTGGGCATCCCGGTTAGTGGAGAGTTGTTTTCTTCCTCTGACGGTCTAGCTTTGGCATCATCAGCTTGACCTTGTTCTTATGAGCTGCTGTCTTTTACATTTTAAGGATGGAAGCAACCTGACGCTCACTGTGTCCCTCTGCCAGTAAGCCAGAATTGAACCCTTCCTTTCTTCACTCAAAACTTTTCTTTTCAACTCTTTTGGCATGGACGACAGTTATTATTTGATTCCAATTGCTTTTGAGGTACTACTAGCACTGTTTTTGTCATCCAGCTGGTCTTTCTGTAACAGGATAGTGATGACCATGGCAGTGTTTTTTTATACTTTTCCTCGTTAAATAAGATTTGGTTGAGGTGAACACCTAATCAGTACTTCATTAAGCAGAACAAAGTGTGTCTGTGTTGGAATATATATTTATATACTACCTTATTATTTTTTATTAATTTATTCTATATAAAATAAAGCAATACTACATGTCATGCAAGTACAGTAAGCGTTTTGTATAAAATTACAGTTCTCTGATGACCTCACACAGCTCTTTATGTTCAACAACAAACAAATAAATCCAACTCACAACAGTCAAGACTGTTTTTTTAGTTCACAAACAAAACTGGCATTTGAAGAAATCTGTTTTTGCTCAGCGCTGTGCATTTTAAATATTTTCATATGTCATTTAGCAAGTTTAGTACTTTGTATGAACAAACGCACACACACAAACACACACACAGTGACAGCTTTGAGTAATATTTCAGCAGCAGAGGTTTGTGGGGTTTGGGGCAGTCTAGAAACCGTGTTTACGCTCAACCGCTCGTTATTGGGCTGACCACAAACCTCTGCTGGCCACAGGCATGCGTGTGTGTGTGTGTGTGTTTGTGGTGATGGCGTAGATGGGAGGGATCTGCTCCCAAAAACGCCAGTTAAACACCAGCCCTCGAAAACTGAGTCGAAGCAGAGACCTGACTGCTAACAGCATCATACTCAACGTCTGCACGATGACAATTATCTCATTCATCTATGCAGCACACATTTTTCGCAAGCGTTGGAGTGCAAAACAGAATTGCATCACCTCTCTGACCGCGAAACATGGGTGGGTTGTTTTTGTCATCTCCATACAGCACTGCCGAAATTACAAAGGTGATGGTTGATTTCAGAGATAACGTTGCAACAAACATCTGACATACCTCTGAATAATTGATTCACAGTTGATTTCTTTGGCACAGGTGCACAGCAATTCAATGTTACTGGTTGCCGCACAAAAACAATGTTGAGCCTTGTTCTCGGTGGGAATGTCCGTGTTCATTAGAGACTTCCAAGCAGCTTCTCACCTGGCACGAGTGTGTTTTTACCACGCTTATCTAAACAGTTTCAGACCGGGTGTCATTCCTTATACCCAGCAGATCTGCTCTTAAACAATATGCTCCATTCATCTTTGTACCGCGGTCTCTGTGACGGTCAGAGGAAGGCGGTTGCGCAAAGAGAGAACTGGCATCGCTAATTAAACTCATTTCATGCTGCAGCTAGCTGAGCTAAACTATCAAAACAAACAATTAAAAAGACTTTTGTTCTAAGTGAACAGTAAACAGCTCAGAGCCGTTTCAGCTCATAGGGAAAGTGCCTATAACTGGGTTATTTGAGTTAACGTTATAGTTCACACAGAAACTAAAATTCTGTCAACATTTACTCAACCTCATTTAGCTAATCTTTTAAATGTTTGTTAGGTTTTTGAAATCAGTGAGGTTTGTTCTAAAGCGTGATGCACCGTATCGCATAAAAAGCATAAATTAAATCTGTTCATCGTATCTTAATTCTTCACAAGACTTGAATGAAATTGCTTGATTTATATGGATGCAGTTTTCTATGCCTTTATGACCTTTTTGGATCCAAGTTTTGGTTACCTGGACTTTCAATGGAGGGACAGACAGTAACCTCTCAGGTTTAATTAAAAACATCTTGATTTGCGTTTCGAAGATTAACCAAAGTCTTTGGGTTTGGAACGACGCGAGGGTCAGTATTTGATGACAGAATGTTCATTTTTGGGTGAACTAGCCCTTTAGGTATCAACTTTGTTTCAGATGATTCTCCTGAAATGCATTAGGATAAATAAAAACAGAATGAATCTACTGCTGACTTACAGTAAAATGTGCAGAACAGAGTATCTCAGATTATGTGGTCATGGAAGAATTTGATAAGAACTGTTTGAGATATTTAAATTTTGATTGCAGACTTTAGTATCTTGGCAGATCTTAGTACAGTCTGAGACTTGATATTTCAGAAGACACATGATATTTCAAGGGGTCTATACACTAAAAAAAAATTTCATTTTTACAGGAAATTACTATAAAAATGCAACAGTGATAACCTTAATTGGTTAACTGTATGTTTTCTATCCTAATGGTGTGAGTGCACCGAGTCACTTTTACCCATCATCCCTTGTAACTCACCCTGCAGGCTGCGTAGTCGTCATGGTGGAATGTCAGTCTGGAGGGGCGTCTGTGATTTGAGACCCTCATGTGGCATCCAGACAGACACTGGAGCCCTCGCTGGGACGACAGCCGACTGCTGGTTTGATCCATGCCGGTGTCCCTGTCTGATGCATCCACACACACAAACACACTTCTTCATTTTTCCTGTCATGTACCATAAAACAAAATAACACTTTCTTCTTTTTATGTGTAAGTGTAAATATTATAACTATGAGACATTTTCCACAAGCAGAAGATTTTGAGATTTACATGGCCACAAAAAGACACTTCAGTCAGATTTAAAAATGTGTGAATACCATTGCATTACATAACGAATATTAAACCAAGAGTAAATAAACTATTTAACCCCCTGAGCCTCTTCATTCACACTTGGTACCTTCACAGTTAAAAGAGACAGAAGCAATGTACTTTTTTTTTCTTCAGGAAAATTTATGTAATATATTTTTGTTCAATAAAATTGTCATTATTATTTAGAATTTGGGTGGCATTTTATGATACTATGCAATATTTAGAACATTTTTTAGCTTTTTTTATAATGTTTGAGTTGATTTTATAATTTTATAATGTTTGAGTTGATCGTCTTCTTTCTTTCAAATTGAGACTTTGACTTTTGATAGCAGACATTAAAACACCATTTAATCTCACTGCAAACAACTGTGATATTAACAAGACGTAATCTGTGACATTTTGTATCCTAATGGTGTAGGATAGTCAAATAAAATTATGTTTGGTGTAAGTTTCGAAGTACTTTTAATACAGTATATTTTTAATTCAACATATCTGCTGTTTTGTCATCTTGGAATCAGTTGGTTAAAAGTTTGATATTTTATTATAAAAAGCAATACAATTCCAATACTTCAGTGTGTCTTGAGTGTTCAAATACTTTGTGTATCCATACCCAGGGCTCTAACATATCGCTGACCCACCTGCTGTCCTCAGGTGAGTCTGGTGCATGGCCTACGGTTGTGTTGGCCTCTTTATTCCTTGCAACAATCTGCCCATTGTTTACCAAAATAATAAAACAATATTCTGCGTCTGGAGTGGCTGCCAGACTAAACAGAACAAATGAAGAACTCCTGGGGTCCGCTGATGCCAGGCCTGTTGCGAATTAGCACGCTTTTACATTTGTTTTGGCTTGGCCGAGAGCAGGGTAACATTTAGTGTTTTAAGAGCCCATCCCAGTTTTAAAAACCCACAAAATTCAGCTTAAGTTCACACAGCAGCTCTGTTCCAATACGTAGTGAGCTGCCCTGCTATGTGCTGCCTACACAGGCCTGTCGTGGATGCTGTCTGAGGTGTGATGCTAAGCAGAAGTAATGAAGAGAAATTATGAGGAAAAAAAAAGTATGACAGGAAACTCCATCCTCATTTAAATAATTCTGTTTTTAGTTGCATTTTAAAATAATCTTGAGTAGAATTGTTCTGTTCGTGATGACATGAATCAAAGAAGGATTTTTTCCTAACCACAATTTACTTCAATGTCACAAAAGTACAAGAATGTATGTGGCAGATTTAAAGATAATGAACATGTTTTTTCTCTCTCAGAGGAAGAATGAGGCAGCAGAAAAAAAGTAAAAAAAAAATAAAAAAAAGTTTTGTCCTTATCAAGGAGGATATGAAAATGTATTCTATCTTGTTATAATTACTTAATTTGAGCTAGAATTCCTTGCTGGAAAATCCACCTTAAGACGTGTATTGGAATGTGTTTGTCAACTGGAATAAAGTTTGAATAAAATAAAATAAAATATAAATATTACACAAAAAACTTGATATAACACTGATATGTTACCTTGAGAACTAAGTGAAATAAGCTACAATTACTAAAACTGAAAAAGCTTAATAGAAATATGAAGAAAAAAGACAACTAAAACTAAAAGGAAAACTGAAAAATAAAAAAGCTAATGCAAAATATTAATAGAAATTATAATAGTACATAAATAACACTAAAATAACACTGGTTCTAAGCAAGAAGATCATGTTGGAGAAGCAACAAAGCAGCTAAGTGAAGGTAACTAGTCAACCAGGAAATAGAACCAGCATTTCTTTTGACTAGTCTGACATCTTGGATGGTTTTACTGCTCTAGTTACAATGCATTATGAGATTACTTCACCTGCAAAAGATACATGCAATGTATCTATGGCTCACAATGTTTTGGAAGAGAGCTTTGGAACTGATTTAAATAACACTGCTTTCCTGCTGCTCCGCAGCTCTGTCTACTCTGATTCTGACATAAAACTTAACATAAATCTGCAATTAGATACATGATGCTGTTGGTTTATGTGCATCTTTAAATATGCATCATTTCTGCAGTTGCAAAAATATGTGAAAAATTCACATACGATCCAAAACTTCATCCAGGCATTTAATTTAGTGAGGTTCGTAAGATGGATGATTATGGAAATCATCTGTCCTCAAATTCCATGTGTCATCAGTGATATAAGTCGATATGTTCCAGCAGAAAAATATGTTTTTTTTTTAAAGAGGAGCAAAATGCATTCATAATTTAAAAGAAACAATTTTCTGTATATTTCATAAGGGTTTATTTATCAGTGCATTCGCAAAGGCATTTTTAAATGGCTCCATATGTTAGGGATGCCAGAAAACAGGCATTAAAGGGGTCATATGACGTTGCTAAAAATAACATTATTTTGTCTTTTAGCAGTTCAGTCAATGTACTGTTAGGAGTAACTGAATAACTCGGGATATTGGTTTATTTCGCGTCAGAGGGAGTGTCAGGCACGTTTATAAACCGAATAACTTAAGTAATTTGTGGATCAGTGCGTACTGGATACACGAACAGTTTCAAACGATTCAGTTCGATTTGGTGAACTGGTTCGACAGGTTCACTAAGAAGATCCGGTTAAATAGAACGATTCGTTCGCGATCCGGACATCACTAGACGAGACTGTGGCGAGATGAGACGGAAATGTTACGCCCCTTACCATACTGTGATGCCGTGTCCCAGCCGGAGCGACGAGACGAAACCAATAAAACCCATTACAAACGAGGCATTTGTTGCATCCAGTGGGGACATAATTTCTGATTATGACGACTTATGCTGTCTTTTTACGCGTTGCGTGTATTGCGCTGCGTAAACATAAAACCATGTCTGCGTTTGTGATCGAAGAAACAACAAACAACAAGCCTGCTCTACACTGCTCAAAACTCACGTTTGAATCATCATTGGCAAATTATTTAAATATAAAAAACATACTTACAGGCTGTGAGTCAGAAGCGCCAGACAGTCCTTGCAAAGTTGGAACTGCCCAACTTTATAGAAACAGCCTTTGTGCCACAGACGCATTGTAGGCTACTGGTTCAG